CCATTCTGGCCACACCAGTGCGGAGGCCTTCCATAAAGACGGTCACTGTGACCGCCTCAGGGTAGGGATCTGCTGCTATCTCGGCAATGAGAGTTCGCATCTTTTGGACAAAGTCCACCAATCCCTAGTTGCCCTGTCCGGCGGCAAGGAAACGCGGTCGCACGTGATACGCCTGATTTGGCGGCGAAAACACTCGGGAGACTGTAATTTCAGTCCTCCCAGGAGAGAAATGCAGCTACGACCAAAGTGCCGCACGTCAGTGACCATTCTCGCGCTCGTCGAGCTGAGCTTGGGGATAGCTAGCGCCACGCGCTGTTGCTCGGCTTGGAGCATGGCGTAAGCAATGGACATCTCCACCTCTCTCACCCAGATTAGGAGATTCTCTCCATCCTTTCCCTCAGAGACCTTAGCGCTCACCATGAGCGGCTTAGGTCGGAGGAACTTACTCGTCACCGACGGTGGCGTCATAGACGCAAACGATGCAGGTGCTCTAGTAGCGCGTGTTCGTAATTCGGAAGCGCCTCTAGACGCGCGCCGATTGCATCGAGGCCTTGTGCAGCAAGGTGTTGGACGTTCATAGGGCCAAGCAAGGACATCAGCTTATTAAGCCCGTCCTGCATGCCCTGAGACAAAGAGGAAATTTTCTCCATTCTCACAGAGAATCAGTCAAAACGACTCAGGTGTAGATTGACTACAAATGCTTCCAAGTGCAGCGGGGCTGCCGTAGCAGACCGCTTGAGGAAGCGTACTTTAGGTCACCGTCCTTTCGTTCTTTACAAGAACCAAGTACTAGTGATTTCGATCCGCTGCCTCCAAGAGCATTTGAAACCTGAACAAAGGCAAATGAACCCTTCTTTTCAAAATTGAAACTGATTTTTATTTAATTTATCCTAAAGAAAAGTTTAGATCTTCCTAAAAAAAAGTAAAATCTAAATATGCATAACTACTATGTTAGCAAGCGCTTCGTTAAAGTGGCAAACACAAAATTTATATCCGGAATGATCACACACTTGTTCGATCTCGTCACTCCTGAGCTAGAGGGAACCTTCGAGCTCACTTACTCGAGTGGCCATACTGGCAACAGCGAAAGACGAGATTTCTTTTGTTCTTGATGCTTGGCAGTATACATAACCGCAAGAATGTCATGTTCGATCTCCAGCAAGACTTATTGCGCACAAGTGATTTTGACATGATACCGACCGAGTTCACCAAAGTAAATTACCAACCAGCTACCCTTCCACTCCTCTTCGACTTCGATCTTAAGGTTAGAAACGGTAATTATCGCGACATAATTTTATTTTAAATCTGTTTGAGTAATATTTCGACTTATGGACCGATATATCATATTCAACGCTGACAGGATCATACGCAACTGCAGTCCGGAAGTCTTCGAGAGTCTGGAGCACTTTGTGCACTGACTGCCTCGCGTC